GCTTCCAACCAATCGATTAGAGACTGCACTTCAAAACTCATCAAAGAGGGTGACTCCTTTAGAAGAGAAATCTATCGAAGTCTCTCTAAAATGAAGTGGGCCTCAAAGATCGACATAAACAACGCTTCTGTGCAAGCAGAGCTGGTGATCGAGAAAATGGAGAAGGCGGCTACCAGAATCCTAAGGCGATTGAAGAAGGCTCCTCTTATCTCTTGCAAGGCAGAAGCCACCAAAATCCATGACGATCAAGGAAGTGATGACCATGATCGTCATGAGGGGGAGAAGAAGACTGAGAAGAAAGCTGAAGAGCCCAAGAAGACTACCTCTACCAAACCACTAAAGACAGTGGACTCTACAGAAGCCATGTTCTCAAAAGACAAAGCACCAGAGCCTAAGGGGAAAGGCAAGGGCAAAGCTGTAGAGGAGTCGCCACAGAGGGGGTCAAGCTCTGAAATGCAAGAGGAAATAAACGAAAAAGAGTACGATGACCCAGAACTCGTTCAAGCATTAAAGGCGTCTTTGGCAAAGGCTCAAGCAAGAAAGGGCAGAGCCCCTATCCCCAGAGCTGGAGAAGGCTCATCCTCCAAAATGGCGAAGGAGGAAACGTCCACGGGTACGTTCGACGCTCTGTTAGGAACTGTCAAACCCATCCTAGCAGAGGGTTCTACCCAGAGGCCGATTCTAGAAGAAGAAGAAACCAGAGTGCCAGAATCTGCCACAGTGGGAAGGGTGTATGAGATCTTTAATTCGATGACAAAATCCCTACGAAGAAGGTGCACACAGAGCCTGTAACCACTGTGGAGGAGATTCTGTGGTGGCGCTACTCTGCTGTAGACACAGAGCCCGCTTACGATCCAGAGCTTACAGGTATACCCTCTGCAGCTGCGAAGTTTCACTTCTCAAGATTCACAAAGCCACGCGAGCAGGTCTTTTCAGAGCACGTGATAACCTCTCTTGAAACAATTTCTCCAAGGACGATGCTGAAGAAGACCGTGCTTTATGCTCAATATATGGTGAAGAGGGATGACGGCAACCTATACACGTTCACAGATGCTGACCTCCACAACCTCTATGTATTTGACCTGATCTTCCTGCACAAAATTCTTAACAAATACATGGAGAGGAGGTCAAGCTATTCTATATCGCTCAGAAGGCTGATCGAAGTTATGCGCGCTCAAGTAAAATACTACAGCCATAAGGACTTTGATATCGCGATGAGGTTGGCCCAAACAGAATTGAAGATTTCCCCTCCCAAGAACAGGCCAAGTTGGCTACTTAGATGTCATCCAAACACTATTGTCCACAATCCCGTCTTTGGGTTTGTGTTCTTGGACAAGGATGACATTCTAAGGTTCTTTGATCCCACAGAGGCGAACACATATGCGACAGAGACTCTTGAGTGGGTGTTCAACCAAGTGGCAGCAGAGGTGCACAGAGGGCATCTAAGGGCGGATGAAGTATCTGGTGTTCTGGAAGTGATTAAAGTTCAAGTCTCCTTCAGAGAATGGATATTCAAGGTCTACAGAACCATCAAGTCAGATCTGCAGTTTGCCATAGACGACTATCCAGACTCTGCTGTGGACTAATCTTCTGTAATAGATAGGCCTGAGCAACAATTTTGTATTTCTTTCAATTTTATGTAATTCTTTTTAGAGGATGAGTTTTATCTCCTCTTGTAATTCTTTCAATTAGTCATTTCTTGCATTCATTTGTCCATTTTTACTTTTTCATACTTAGGGGGAGATTGTTAGCTCCAATATTTACTTAATG